CGCCTTCTCCTCCATCCTCTGGTAAACATCTAAATTAGGTCAAGGAGCTGGGATTTGGTGCGGATCCGTCCTCCTGCGCCGCACGTCTTCCTCGTGGAGGAAGAGCCCCCGTGGCCTGGAGCATCCTTAGGAGATGCTGGGCTGGCCCAAAGCTGGACCAGGGGGAAGGTGATACCCCAGGGGACGATGTCATGAGCTCGTCACTGCTCAAAACCATGCCGGGGGGGGTCATGGTGGGGTTTTATCCGCCGTGGGGTGGAGATCAGGACACCATCCTTGAGTTTAGAGGGATGAAACCCATGAAGGACGGTGTCCGGATGTACCCGCGTGGAGCCAACATCTCCTCCAGGTTTGGGTGGGCTACTTGGACAACCCAGCAAGAGGCTTTGTAGCTAAGAAAGGTTTTTTTATCTTGAGGGATTGAAGGGGTGGTGACCTCCAAGAGCTCCTCCTCGAGTCAGTGGAGGGGGGCAGCGGCTCCCAAGGGGCGTCTTCTCCTCCGGGGAATGGAGGAGGAAAGTAGGTCAGGCTTGGAGCTGCCCGTTTCTATCAGCTCAAGTCTCCAATCGAGCACCTCTTGGGTCTCCATCCCATCCTGTGCCCCTAAGGTGGGACAAGGCCATGGAGAAACCCTTGGTCCCAGAGCAATGCCCGCATCCCTGCCCTCTGTTTGATGGACATCCCACCTCCCACACCCCCGGGATGTCCTCCTGGTCTTCTGTGGTGGTGTAAACCCCCCCCCCCCGCCATCGCCGGGCCACCCGGAGATCTCAGGATAAGCCATGCGTGCTTTGGGGAAACCTCCCGTTGTGCTGTTGTCTTGGTCTCAAGACCCTATAAATGGCGATCCAAGGTGAGACCTTTGGAGCTCTCCGGGACCGCAGCTGGTTGTGTGACCCAATATCTCCCCTCTGAGCTAGGACCTCCTCTTGGGGTAGATTTGGCAAGGATTGAAAGATCGTCCATCGACGATTTTGCGAGAATTATTTGCCTGTCCTCTGCGTGATTTGGTTGGCAACTCTTTTACCTGTCTGTGTGCACGCGTGATTTGATTTTACCTCCATCTGTGTGTGCAACCCAGTGGGAATTTTGGGGTGATCCTTGCCATTTTCAAATCTTTAAGTCACAAATTTTATTGTAACAAATTCCATTGAATTGCTCTGTTAAACTGGCTGATGATTAAGTACGGTTAAAATTATACAACCTCTATCTCAAAAGTATTAATAAATCCTAAATTGCTGCTAAACCAAAGCTATGCAATAACAATCTCATTTTTGACACCTTCATCATCCTCCTTGGGGCTGGTAGCTGGAAGGACCGAGGAGGAGGAAGATTCCCAGAGCCTGGAGCTGGGTGAGAGGCAGCTGGGGAATCACCACTGAGATGACGCAGACCAGCTTCTCTCATGGCCAAGGCATCTTTGAGGACCTCAACGCTGCTCCTCCCTCAGGGGAAGACGTGCTCAACGCTGAAAATATCTGAGCGCACCTTCAGCTGGAGGTACAACCTGATCCATCCCCGCACCGGTGAGTGACCCAACACCTGCCCCAAGTGCTGGACGAGCTTCGGTGATGGCTCCAACCTCATCTCCCACCAGAAGATCTGTCACGGCAAGACCCATCTTCTGCGGAAAGACCTTTGGCCAGAGCGTGGACCTGATCTCCCACTGTAGGATCCATACTGGGGGAGAAGTCCTATGTCTGCCCAAGCTGTGGCAAGTGCTTTGCCTAGAGGTCCCACCTCACCACTCATCAGATGACCCATGCAGGAGAGAGACCTTACATGGGCCAGGACTGCAGGAAAAGCTTTGGCAGGAGCTCCAACCTGAGCAGGGACCAGTGGAGCCACAGTGGGGAGAGACCCTAGAGATGCCCAAACTGGGAAGGGCTTCACCATGAGCTCAGAGCTCATCAAACACCAATAGACCCACATGGAAGAGGCTCCCTACAAGTTCTCCATGTGTAGGAAGAGCTATGAGGAGCTGAGGTCCCACCAGAACCACCATGTGAAGTAGAAGGTGGTGGCAACTCTTCTGGTGTAGTTGGGCATCCATGGTGGGCTGAGACTTTTGGGGTCTCCAGCCCCGTACCTCATGCTCAGGATGCAGAGGGCAGTCAAGTTCTGCCCTCGTCATCCTCTTTTTCACCCCCTGTGATCCTCCAGCAATAAAATAAACCTTGGTCAGTCCAGAGACATCATTAATAATGCTTAACATTAATTGGCGCAGGAAAACTAAGCTTTTCTGAGAAGGAAAAACCCAATATCTGGATTTTTCTAAGCTGAGAAGTGGGTCCTACCTGATGTCCAGGAGCTCAGTCCCCCCTTCCCCAGACTGGGCCAGCTCTTGAAACCAAATGGGAGGACTTTTCTTCTCCTTCACCTCCATCCTGAGATACTGGAACTGCATTAATGCGTGGAATTAATCAGATTTAGGTTTAAATTACAGCTTTTGGAAGATATTTTTCAGAGCAGGGAGACCATTTAAGAGGGGTGAGATCAAGTCCCTGCTCTCATCTCATAGTCCCTTGTTGGGACATCCAACTTAAGACCAAGATACATTTTTTTTGGTGACAACTAAATTAGCTTCTCATTATCCGTCTAACACCGTTTGCTGCATCTCAAGGGCCCCGTCCTTTAGCAGAAGGTCCTGACCTGAGGATGACCGAAAAAATTCACATTTCTCAAAGGCCGCGGCCGCCCCGGGACGAAGCCTTGACGGCCGCGCCTTCTTTTGTTGAAGAACCAAAACAAGACGAAACACATTCATATCGTGTTTCCACGGGTTTTTATCAACTCCAGACCTTTTTTCTTGTTTCTTTTTAACGTTTTATTTTAATCCCCAGCCTCAGCGCATGGGTGAGAATCGGCGAATTCCATAATTTCTGGAAAAAGGTAGCGCCTCCCTTTGTGTCTAGCTTTAAAAAAAAATAAAAATAAAAAATATTATTTATTTTGTCAAATTAAACCTTGAGGCTGCTTTTCCTTGGAAGAGGGTAGCGGAGAGGGACTGGGGTGGGGGGGCTCCAGTGTCGTCCCCCCTCCCCAGCTAAGCATCCTCCGGTAGCACCAGTTTGTTGCAGCCCGACTGGGTGTGCAGAGGCACAGGAAGGGGCTGGGACCGGGGGGCGGGGGGGCTG